ACTTATTATTTGTGACCGGTACTATTTTCAATTTTCTCACTCTGCAATCTAGGAGACAGGACACAAAGGCTAAAGAAACTGTAATGAAATCAACTGATGAATCAAAAATTGGCATCCTTTGTTACACTTTCTAATAATGCAGGAAATCTTTTAGAATTTGACTGCAAGCTTAGGGCTTCAGTAGATTTGAAGGGCACAATCTGTACCGGAAACATTTTGCAGTCTGAGAAGAAACTTGTGGGATGTACTCCATTTTTGTCAACATTTGCGCTATTCGGCCGTGAGGGGCAACGACCCTGGACATCTCTTTTCCACAATCTCTTCAGCTAATATGCTTTTTGAGCGACGTATTGCCCCTAATAAGTACACAGTCGCCGTCTGAACAGACTACAGAGCTGCCCGACGACCGCATTAATAAAACATCGGATTCCGTTTTAACTACACAATGTTTAGTCTGGCTATGGGTGTGGTATATCCGACCACAAACAAACTGTCGATACTTCGTGGCAGATACATCCCGTGACGGCACTGACACCCACGTCAGATAAAGATGCTGGAAGTCAACTGTTGGCATTTTCGGGCTCTGGTGACGTTCGCCGAGTGACACTTGATCGGAAGCATCCGTAATTATAGGAAAGTGGAGACAAATTGTGACCGCATGCCAACTGCGACGGACAACAGTAACGACAGAGTAGAATTACTTGGCTTTCCAAATAATATCATATAGGTGTAGAAGCCGGGTCGTAAATCTAATTCCTAACTCTAGTTGACAATAAGATTTAACTAGCCGGGGGTTCCTTCCCACAGAGAGAAACATCTTATTTTCAACGCATCCTGTAACCCCACTTAAACATTCGTGTTTAATCCATCACCCGTTAGACTCGGAAGGCCACTTTAGACCCACCGTTTTTGTTTCAAGGCCATATCTGAATGAGGCAAATTAAGAGGTCCTATCCTTTTTCTTAGAATTCCTACTCATACATGTTCATAAATGTTCAGGGTTATCTCATGTCTAACTCGCTCCACCGTCACAAGAACATCGAGCTGTACGCTACCAAACTCCTCTGTAGCCCCGATGTCAGGTCACCAACGTACCCTTAAATCACAGATAGGGCCGTTGGCGTTTCATGTTGCATTTGTACTATGTAAACTCTAGCTGAGGTGCTTCCATGAGACAGTCATCGAAACTACACCATACCTTTGTATTGCAGATACTTCAACGAATCCTTACAAAGCTCTCTACTAAAAACAGTTTCGTTTTGGAAGACCTCTTCTGAAGCTCGCTGGACAACAGTCTGATGAAATACACAGCTCGTGGGCAAATAGCGCCGGGGGTCTTCGGTAATAAGTCGCTTCTGGATTTGATTAGAGTCTCCGGACTTGTAATATGTGCCAAGTTTTCCCTGGTGACCTCGTCATGGGCTCCGGCACGTGCAGTTATTTACATCGTTACTTTCCCCTGTATAACCACACCATGTCAACGCGGTGCAACAAAACGTTACCTTAAATTGGGGACACCGGTACTAGGCCAAGCCTTTCGACAATACCGCCCCCCCCCCAAAAAAAGCATTACAACAATACGCAAAAGATGCAATAAGCACTTTGCTTTATGGCAAAATTCACGGTGCTCAATTCAGAAGGAAGTTTCGGAGTTTGAAATTCGCTATATTCTGATTTTTAATCGATTTCTGCTAAATATTGAAATTTCTTAGAAAAGGTGAATTGGTACCCGTAACTCATCAACTAGTTCTGGGTACCACACAAACGTCAAGTACAGTTTTCTTAGAAAGTCAGTCAGTCTGATTTCTAGACAGACATCCTGTCTGATTTCCAGGCATCGTACATCGAAGCACAATTCGGCGATAGGCTATACGTGTACTATTCAGATTTGGTGAAGACAATCTGTTCGGCGTAAATATCGGCTGAGTTTAACAGCCTGAATATTTAAGTTTGACATGACATTATTATATAACGGGATATTGTCGCGAGCGATCCCTGGTAAACAAATCTGCAAACACTGGGCAAACGAAAGCGAGTGCAACTACAAAGAAGTCTGAATGCAACCGTCACCCTGTCGGTGCATCATCATTTCACGCTACCGCAGTGACAGCTAACCCCAAGGTCAAAATTACTTGGGTGCAATTATGTTACATTACATTAAACGGTTTCAATTACGTCGACTGAACTTAGAGAACGGTGCCATACTTTGATTGAATACTTTGAGTTCCAGCCCAGGCAAGGCGGATAGTCAAAAGAATGTTTGCTATAGGTATAGGTGCAGTTCCAAACGGCTCAACGACACCCCCCCCATGCACACGCACACTGTCCACGGCACTCAAGCTCTCAAGTGTCGTTTAGAGATCTTTGCCGAGGGCCGTCGAGTCGGTCTCACGGTCGACCTATTGCCACGGTATCTTGTGTAATACCGGATACTAAGTAAACTGTTCACTGGCTACTTGCATATCCACGAGAGGGGCACTTAGGCCTAAGGCAAATCCAGTTCCCTTTTTACTTCAGGGAAAATGGACTTTCTATGAGCCAATATTATTTCCTCACAGTGTGGCCTGTTAATGTCAGCACAAATGTATGAACTCAACGCATACATATTTTAGGTCGTACCCAACGATGACGAGAGGTTTCTATTTTGAGAGTCCTGGCAGTCGACACCGGGAAAGAAATGCAATGCACATCAACAATCATATTGCAATCCCTTTTGCCTGGTAGTTACGCAAAGTAACCTTCCCTTGAGACAACCCTCTCATAAACGACATAACCGTTCCAGTGGTTTGCCCACATTCCTTCTGTTGCTTGACGGTATGTGTCCCGTCACTGCGAATTGCTGTGTCAAATTTGTCAATAATCTGACCTCAAAACCAACCACAAATATCCCGATCGCATCCAAACAAAATACTCGGACTTTCCTCTAGAGGTTCAAAACCAGAAGTTTCCGGCCCATAAACCACGTTCAATGGGTATGCAGCTACCTCTCCACATTTTCATCGACCGGTTCCACTTAATTAATTGAAACAGTCCGAAGGGACCCAAACAAACCTCTAGTGTCACCTTCATAGGAACCCGCCCCATTGGATGTCCATGCACTGTTAGTGTTAACGAGGTCCGCGATGAGTCTATAACAAAATACAGGTCCGAAAGCTATAACACTATAACAGATCATCGTGAATTGGGAAATTCACACTGAGTTCCTTGCTCTGTGGTTAATACCAGAACAGAAACCATTTACAAAAACAAGAGAACGAACAAAAAAATATTTTCATGTAGACACTCACATGCACGGAAACGGAAAACAGAATAGTAAGAGGCCTGTCAAATGGGCCTTGGCAATAACAGTACGTGTAGATTCGTTCGTGACAAATGGTAAGACTTTAATAAAGCAAGTTATTTTATCTGACAATAGTTAAATTGACAAGACAACATGCTTCATCCGGTCAGTCTGACGAGCTTGTCAAAACAACGAGTGACATCCTGTCATTTCTAGGGAATCTAAAAACAAAGTGACAGTATGGCAAATCTTTTTTCGAACACTGACTCTCGAGGAAACCTTCCTGGCCTTATCAGCGATTTAATGCTTATTACTAGTATTATTCTAGTCTCTTTAATTACAAGTAAGGTTCCAATTATTATACATGATCAGCTACAGTGGCCCAGCTAGCAATACAACATACTGCGCTATTATGCAATAGGCGGAAATTGTGAGTAATGTGTGCACTGCACGTAACATCGCGTTCCTGTGGCGGACGCCCTTCCTTGGTAATGGGGCAAAATTAAATAAACAACCTTTCTGTGAAAACAAGTTCCTCCGCAAAATGAATCAGACACCTGAAACTGAATCTGGTGTAGCGTAGGTCAAGTGTGAACTTCGGGGGAAAATACGGATAACACACGAGGGAGGTAAAAGTTGGAGTCCATTAACCGAACAGAAAAGCGGGATTTCACTGGCAACATAAACATGATTTAATGCAACCTGCAATCTTTCCCGCCCAACATAGTCGTCCATGACTGCCAGAAACATTTTAGGTTCATACTTCTATTTTTCGTTGCTCAACATCAACTAATCAGTCAGCCAATCGGTCACCTCCGCAAAGTGATATCAATACATGTACAACAGTCATCTCCGGATGGATAGAATGGTTGAACACGCATGGCTACAGTACATCACTACTCGTGGAGTACAGGCTTAGACAGTGGGCCTAGGCAGAAAAAATGAAGAATTTATATCCAGGGCCTACCCTAAATGTATTACGGAGAGGAGAATTTCTCCTACACCAAAAGGCTACATGGATCACAACCAAGGTTATAGTACAAGTGTCACATCAGAAAAAAAATGTCCTTGGTCTAGGTCCTCGCCTAGGTCACAGCCGCGCCCTTGCCAACAAATCCTGCATAATGCGCAAATTGACAGACGGCTTCAGCAGGCAAAGTTGCTGCGAGTAGAAAGCTGAATCATCCGCTTGACGAATGTTATCGCTCAAAATTAATGTTATCACTGTGAATGCGGAAACACAGGGTCGGTGATAAGGAGCTCAACCAAAACTTGGCCGAACACTTGGTGAGAGACGGTGTCATGTCTAATGAAGTCTTCCTTGACTGTGACTGGAAACGACACGAGATAAAATAACACGAGACAACTAGATATTTCCATCGAAAATGTCCGCGTGAACTCTCTACCCCGCAATACGTTGCTTCATTCTTGCTGAAACAGTCCACTTCATCAGGAAGATCGCCCCCGCTTATGCCAATGACTGACCTCAAAAGGACGACCGGTGCTTATACAAAATTACAAGCATTTTAGGTTTTGCTTAGCATAAATTGTCTGGTTGTACTTGCTTGATCTGTCAGTCCTGAAAAAAGTTGTTTTTTAATTTCATAAATTACCATTGAAAGGTTGTTCCCTAATTAAACACTTTTTAACCGAATGTAAACAAGCCAAAATACATGCTCTCGCGCAGTCCTTCTCCTCTTTTCTGGTAGGAAAAACTCACCCAGTTGGATTCCTGGAAGACACCACGTACCGGACCGATCTCCACCCCTGCCTGCTCCCACTCCCAGGCCCCTGAGCCTTGGTCGAATCCAAAAGCACACACAGTAAAACAATAGCGAAGACCAACATAAGTGTGGCGCGCGCTGGGCGAAACATCCTGAGTTTCATGACCATCAGCTGTGGTTGCCAGCGACGATCTGAACGTCAGATGCACTGAGTATCTCTGACTGACTGGCTGTGAAAGCGTATGTGCGCGTGACAGTGTAGAAGCACAAACGAAGAGACAAACCAGTCTGGTCGTGGTATTAGTCACTTCTCCGAACTTCCTGAGATTCCCTGATCGAGACAACGCCTGGGCCTAGCTGAGCGAGTCGATATCAGCAGTCTGGGTTTGCCCAGCGTGTGTATGGCCAGTTTCCCGGCCGGAACGTGCGTGCGTTCATACATCAACACGCGGCCTACACTCAACCGTTCGGTATCGGGGGGCTATGTGCGTGGGTGACATGGATCAAGTAGTTAGATTGCATTGCCATCAATACCCATGTATTCCTAGCTCTGTATGGTTCTATTGAGTCGTTAGGTAAGATCCACTTCGAGGTCGAAGTAATCCCTCTAGTCAGATATCTCAGGCGGTCCGGACATTAAAGGTTGTCTGCATGAATATTTCAAGCGGAATTTTTCTTTTAAGAGTTGCGACATTAATTTCTAAGTGTTTGTGTTTTGTTTCCACTGTGGAAAACGAGTAGGCCTAACTAAACGAGTAGGCCTCACACCTCAGCAGTTAACGAGTAAATTGTCGCGGGTTCGATTCTAAGTAAAGGCTTGCTTCCTAAAAAAAAAGATATACACATCGAGACTATTTTGCTATAGAGGCTTCTAATTGTGGCATAGCCTTCGCAGCACAACGGTTATAGAGCGCTGGTCTTGTAAACTAAGAGGAAGTGGGTTCAAATCTCGCTTAAGGCTTACAGTGGCACTTTGGAAAACAAAGGAACTTTTGCTGATCTTTTCATTTCGATGTAGCATCGTTAGTCCGGATCTCAGTGAAGATTTTATGGCTACTTTTTTCAAGATTATTTTTTTTTCAAGATCATAAAACGACTAGATGCCTTAAAACACAAGTGAAGTCTAAACCAAAGGCAGACGTCATGTCCCATTGCCGTCAGCATTTCCCTTCCTCCCTGGATACACTGAGCATGGACCCAGGAGCCACTACCTCGAGTGCCTTCATAAGCTGTGATTGAAGCCAGTTAGGAAACGACTTGATTGATACTGGGTGGTCTTACAAGGTGTTGAATTCTCGGCAAAGATTTTTCCCCGTCTCCGAGTGACCTTTTGCCACATACGTAGATGAATACACGACGTTCGGGTTGGCCTATCTTGAGAGCCAAGAACCCTCCAGATCATGAAGATGTCTAGGATGGGCTTGTCTATATGTTTAGCTCACATTTCAAGAGATCTCTCTGTATCGCTGATCTTGATATGTTCCTTCGAGATCTCGATTGGAACTAGTTCATCTTTCTTCAGAGGAAAAGAAATTATCAAATGAGAAATTCAATAGATTATAATCTGCTGGTCTAATCGGATTTGATTTTAATTTGTTACATGTGACCATGGAGCTATAATAGCTCCATGGTGTGACCAGGTTTCTTTGAAACGGTTCAAGGATATGGAAGAAAACAGCAGAACTTTCAGAGATTGAATAAATTGGCATCCAAAGGTAAAAGAATATTGGAAAATTCGCCATCGCCTCACACCCATATCAAGAAAATTACGTCGACAACAAACGTGGAACGTTTAATTGTGTGTTTTAAAAATTATTATTATTTCAAAAGAACTAGCGAAAGGACTCTAATTTGGAGCAAATTCATTCGATGAGGAAAATATCAAAATTGAATGCAACACCAACATCTCATTTTTACAGACACCTGTCCGAATAAGCTCTGATCTTTTGACCGTGCCACTGCACAGTGCATCCGTTTGACCGCCGAACGAGTTGCACCTGTGGAAGTGATGCGTCTGGGCCATGTCTACAACCTGTCCTGTGATATGACAGCCGCGCGTAAATCAACCCAACAAGCAGGAGGGTAACAAGACGTGATTGATAGCGATGGGGACTGACAGTGTACATGTATTTACAAAGTATCCATACCGTTTAATCACTTGCATTCTTCTACGGTTTCCTCCTCCAGACGTTATGCCAGGATATGCGTAAGTCTCTCTGTGTATGGCGTACTGTGTAGGTGGAGGAATAGGCGTATACGGCATATAGGCATATACGGATACGAAACCAACAATACAAGGATTCTCTCCAGGAGGTTTCTGAGAAGGGAAAACGGACAAGTAGAAATACTTCCATATTTCTATGCGCAAACGGCACCATGAAGACCTTCTGAAAGTCGAAAGATATCCTCAAAAATAACTTTTGCACAGCTGCAAAATCACGTCAAGTCCGCAAATCCTGGGTGAGATATTATTTTCTTAACTACAGAGTACAATTTGAGAGGCATTACCCCAAATGTCAACCATACAACTAAAAGATCATACTAAATGCCAGTTAAGTCCTGCTAAATGATTTCAAACGAAACGTGCCTCCACTCCAGTAAGTTCTACAGATGCCGATCCTTCCTAAGGCAATAAAAAAATCTTGCTTCTGTGGCCCCTCTGTTATGATGTCAAACACGTCACAGCAAAGACGACAAAAAATCAAGTTGCGTGAGGTTATACAAATACAAACTCTGCAAACAGGTGGTCTAAATTAAGCAGAAGTTTCACATTTCAGGAGATCATTGTCATGCCCCATCCTCAAAAGGAAAACAAGATCAATGGTTCCTTGCTGTACGGCAAAGCATAATCGTCATTTCCACTCGTCTTACGACAAGTTAAGAGCAACGACCCCACTTTACCGAGGTCGACCTTTCCTATTTCCCTGGAAGACTGGTGTTTGGCGACCCGGCGAGCTCACGAGTCATACACATTGGCCTGCAACCCCGTTGGTGAATGATGGACAAGAGGACGCAACGATCTGTCCGGTGATATTCGATCAAGATGTTTTTAGATGACCAAGTCGATGAACAAGACCATCTGAATGATTTTGTCGTCAGTGGCTGCTCTGGGTGGGAACTTAGCAATGCAACAATTAGCGTGTCTCTAGTAACACGATGAAAAACTACCACGGTGAACGCAGTTCGGCTGTGACCCAACTATATCTACCCACGTTGAAACAAATATGTTCAGACCAGTCCATAGGCCCTACAGGATCCACACAGACCCCCATACTTTCATATTCATGAAATTTAGGCTAAAAACCTATCCGCACTTCTTGGTCTGTGTTATAAAAGAGGATGACGTATCAACTGGAATGGTTTTTTTACTTGAGGAAACCACATACAGCCTCAATATGGGCAATCAAACTGGATTATCAATCAAAAGTCACATCTGGTCGTTGCTATGTAACGAAAGATGGCAAAATCCCGTCCACTACGGCTGCGTTTGAGGACGGCAATCACACAGTAATACAAAGCGTGCCAAGATGGGCGAGCCGCTTTTAAATGCCCTCTGATCTATTAATGGCAAACTTCTGCCTCCTTTAATCCTACTAACCAACATCATAACGCTCAAATCACTCGTGACTTGCAACAAAGCCACCATAGCTCAGTGGTTAGAGCACTGGTCTTGTAAACCAGGGGTCGTGAGTTCGAATCTCACTGGTGGCTTCCACAAAGGATTGTTTTTGCACTCTTTCTTCCCTTCTCTCTTCTTTTTATGACCATTTGAACTCCATCTAATTCGAACCCTTGATGCAACGGACATCACAGTTCTGTCTGCTAGTTGTAATCCCAAAACAGCTTATCAAAAACCTGGATCGCAAGAAATACCCCCGTCCAAGTAAATATCCTTTCAATTTTGGAAAGGGGGAATTTTCGGTAGCACCAAAAGCTTTCCTTAAAAAAATTCTTAGGTCATTCATACGTAATGTGATAATTCACAAAACATCTGCATCAGACTCCGAGGCCTAAGAAACCCAAAGGTAGAGCTCCGCGCGCATACGGGACTTGACTTTGCGTTCAAGTGCACGAAAACTGAATAGCGCCCTCTTGTGCGGTGAACTTTTTCGTTGATGAAAGGAGGAACTTTTTTACACAATCTATCAATTTCTCGCATAGGGGTTTCATTGTGCAGCGTTGGCGTGATTTGCTTTGTGTGTTGGGGGACAAAAAGTGGGATGGGTACACAAGTTGAAAAACTCCGATTTTCACTCACTCTATGTTTGGGGCTAACTCTTTTAATGAAAAAGAAAACACCTTAAAAAGAAATGACATGCATACATCCTGTTCAGGTTCCAATGAGTAAAATGTACACCCTCCGACTGTCAACTCAAAATTTACAGTAATGTGCTAAACCCTAGAGATTTTCTGGTGTAGAGGGTTTAGCACAGTAAAAACTGTAATGCAGTGTCCTGACAAAACGGAGAGCACACAAGAACAGTAAGCTGTGACAGAGAATGTCTAACTGCTGGTCCTCGGTTACCACACGAAAGAAAGAACTGTGACAAGGTTTGAAGGGCTTACAATAACCAACAGAAGACTGCTTGTGTGTGTGCTAACAATACGGACAAAAGTGCTCAGGCAAAATTTGAAAGGTCTTGAAGGTGCACATCTAGAACATCGAGGATGAACCACAACAGACAGTGGATTTGTCAATGGTCATTTATGTACATCTATTATGTGACTTGTTAACTGACCTTCACTTCAGAGTGGGGATTGTTGTGGCAAGAATACAAATACATTTACATTTAAAGAAATCCTCAAGACCTTTACTCAATGTCTAGACTGTTCTCTTGAAAGTCAGCTGGCCATTAACAGTAGTTTACCATCTAAAAAGTGGACCTAAGATGACAAGCCACAATGGAATATGCGCCATCTGTAAAACTAACTCCCAAGACGTATAGTTTTCATACAGTATAGCATTTTTCCAGGCTGGAGCTGAGTTGTGTTCCTGGGCTTGGTCGAACCATTATGAAGGAAGGAACTGAGCCACTGTACAGACACCAGTCTGATTTGACCACAATCCCAACTCCTGGCAACTGACATTCTTTCATCCAGAAAAGTCAGGTTGACAAAGGAATCTCTTGGCGCGAGAGTCTTATGTCTTGCCTTCCCCTAGCTTATTGGAGCACTCCAGAAGGGCGTCATGGATCTCCTTGGCGTAGGCGACCTGTGATTTGACCGTGGAGACGTACTGGCTGTAGGTCTGGCTCTCCCCGCTGTTTGTCGGCTCCGATTTGGCAGTGGACACCGGGAGAGGGGTGTGGCGAATGCTGTCCACATACTGGTTGGAGCAGTCTAGGGCTAATCGCTGAAGGAGGCAAGAACAACCACCAAGAGGGGAACAAATTCACATCAGATTAGGAAAAAGGTAATTTCAATACAAAGGAACCATCTTGAACAAAAAATGAACCAACCTAGAACCAAAATGAACCACAAGTGAACCAAATCTTGAGAACTCACCAAATGAAGCTCCACTTGATCACAGATGGAGTAGAACTCCTCTAAACTTTTGTCAAATCGTTGAGGGATGTTATCACTTGCTTTCCTGCACAGATAAAGAACATGACAACTGTTTGAGGAAATTGCAGTGTTTTTTTTCTGCCAAAGATTGGGTTAGTGTGCCAATTATGAGTGCTCTGTGTACCAAGACTGAACTACCTGCACGGCTGAACCTTTACATTCAAGGACACAGAGATTGATGACTGTTGTTAAGTCACTATGCTACCATGTGTGGGTGCAAATCCTCTTAAAGAAGTCATAATCCTTGGCAAGTGCCTTTAACCACTTACCATCGGTTTCCAGTACTAGACACGTATTCTTTTATGTGAGGCCGGGGTCTCCGAAATGGGACGAAGGGAACTGGGCCTTGTAACAAAAGACCGTACTCGTAACAAAAGACCAGGCTGCTGGGCATTACTAACATTTTTTCATTCTCAATAGTGGAGATAATCCAGCCTTGTTTTGAAACAGTACACCAGGGTTTGGGGCATTTAGTACGAGCGGATTACCATTGGGAACAAAAGCTCTCCACCACTGCAGGGATGAGCCTCACAGTACAGCTGCACGCTAATCTGGGTTATGAAAAGAGGTCAGCAGCACACTGTGCCAGTTTCTTGAACAAAAGAAAATTACACCGCAAAATCTGGGCTCTTTTTGCAAGGTGGCAGGCCTGGCTGAAATAGTCCAGCTTCAAGTCCAGTAAATGAAGATAAAAATTTTAAAGAATTTTGAAAACAGAAAAAAATGATAGCAATCCCACCCCAGCATCATCGACATTGATAACTGCCACCAGCACGAAGTGGTTAAACACACAAGTAGAAAAAGGTAAAAGACTTGGTTCCCATCTCCTCCCTCCCCTTTGGGCTCAACCGTACTGTATGATCTGGTACTTACTGTGATGCATTGTCAATCAAGGCTGAGTGATGGAAACCCAAAGCTGCAATTTTCATCAAATTCTGGAGTAAATATTCAAAATTGGAAAGAAAAGAAACAGAATCTGAAAGATCTTGACAGTGAAGAGTTTGCAGTGTTCTAGAATAACACCAGCCAATGTCAATCATACATGAGGTTAGTGGTTACGGGTCAAGAAAATCTCAAGAGATGTGTGGCTGCAGTTTTCACATGAAAGAGAGGTGCTGTCATTCAGGGTTCACTGGAATCGGGTATTTGCCTGCCATGCGGTTAAGTATGTACATGTACATGGATGTATAAGGATATGAAACAAATGATATTATATCTAGAAATACATGTATAGAGGCCCTCTGTTGTCAACTTGTCCCCAGTTAGAAACTGTGTGCATATCAAATGAGGGAAATTGCTAAATGCACTCAGAACAAACACTGGAAGTCAGAAGGCCAACATTAAGTTGTCAGTGTATACCAAGTAACACACAGAGGCACATCAGTTTGGAAGGAAATGGTAAGCTAGAGGTAGTAAACTACTCCAGCAGTGGTTACTGGCCTTGTTTGTTTATCTGCTGCAGGTCACAGTATTCATAGAGTATTTGTATGAAAGGAACAAATGAGTTTGGAAACAAATACCAGATCTAACTTGGAAAGAGTTCCACATAAGCACAACACAAATTTCCCCTTCAAATGTTATAACAGCCATCAGAAAGTGATTACATGTCCTAAAAAGTGATAGAATACTGAAGCATTTGCTTGGAAAACTTTCGTTTTTTTTTCAGACTAGTCTCTTGGTTTGTGCATAGGGGTATCAAGTGTTGTCTGCATATGGAACTCTTTGCTGTAACTTTTCTGTAAGCCCGTAAATTTTACAGTTTATGAATACAAGGTTACCACCGGCAACGAGAAATGTCTACAGTACAAGAAAGAAAAGTTGTGGTTTTATTTCAGTTGCTGAATTCGCTTAAAGATGTAAACTAACTAAACTTATTACCGACAGTGACTCTTTCAAGTGAGGAATCAGCGCTTTCACTCGGGAAATCGGATCCAAATCTAACTGTGACTGTTGTTGGGCCGGCTGAGATGGTTGAGCGGGCTGAGGCTGACTGGCCACTGTAGTACTGCCCGCTGCTGGTGAGGCTCCTAACTGGGTTCCCGGTGTTCCGGACTGACTCTGGCTACCAGGTTGTGAAAGCGGCGACGGGCCCCGAGAAGCCATGCTTAAAGGATGAGAAATGAGGGTCTTTGAAAAGTTAAATTGTGGAAAAAACAGCCTTTCCAACCACGAGTCCAACCGTGCAAATGTTTGGTTCTCAAAAACTTAAAAGGTTGTTCAATCAGTTGAGCCCGGTCCAAGATGCACACGTTCACGTTCAGCTCCAGAAGGTCTCTGGGCACTAGACTAAATAAATACACGCATCTAAAACGATCCGAAAAAAATAATGGCGAAGTAGAGGGCGCTATACAGATCCCATATATCTTTGGATTTTTTACACGCCAAAACGTCCTCTTTTAAAATGGCTTACTACTGGTGTGAATACTCTTCTGTCAGATTATTTAAATGTAGCCCTGGAGCAATGATGAACAAATTGGAAAAGAAAATTCAAATTTTTTTACGTGTTTAACAACTTTGTTGATAAATTATCAAAACTGCAACAAAAACGTGGTCTTATTGCTTCGCCCACAGATTTCCCCTTCCGTACGGTCAGTGATTTTTGGTTCAGAGAAGGCGCTATAGTATACATTGTCTCTCTTGCAGGTGTATACAAATACTAGGTTTGCAGAAAACCCTGATATAATCTGAATGCTGAGGATCAGCAGGGCGATGCCGATTTCTGCCATGTCTATTTGTTAACATTCCCGTCAAGCGCGTCGCTATTTGTAGTGGTGGTTTACAAATACTGAATTCGGTAACATGGTGTGATGAACTCAGTGGTTTATTGTTTGCCCCAAACTCAGGAGGGCATAGTCATCGGAGAGTTGTAGCAGTTGAAAAAAACAAAACAAAACAAAACCAAAAAACAAACAAACAAAGAAACGCGTTGAGAAAGGTAATTATGAACGCCACCGTACCCAAACTAGGCCCCTGTAGCTTAATCGGCACGTGACGTTGCAAGTGCACCATTAAGATTCAGTACTTGATCATGTGCACAGACTTATTCGTAGCACTTCAGGTAATTCACTGCAATTCCCTATCGGGTTTTTTTTAATAATTTACTTTTTAGGGTGATTATCCCGATCGGCACGGAAATTTCGCCTTGCCCCAGAGAAGAACATCAAACTGTAGACAAGACTTTTCTTATGAGCATTTCCAACATCTTTGAGAAGTTTGACTATTTTTCCTGTCTTTTCTTTCTTTTGGTTTAAGTGAGGATCGTCGTAGCCGCTGACCTTCAGTTTAAGCATGGTTTTAAGTATCACCTGTTCTACTCCGCGACGGGCACGCGGTCTGCAAGCGTTGAAGACAAGATAGCCTGCAGACAACACTTCGCAATCTACTAAAAGCAAAGTTTCACATCGAACAAGTGCGCCCTCTGACTAGATTTCTTATCGGATCTTATTTACGATGATAATACCAGTCTCGTCTACATGCAGTTGGTGAGACGATGTAGCGCGTGCTATTTTCTCAATTTGTACCCTTCGTAACTTACCCCACCTTCGATGATTTTATACAGTTAAAATGGCACCAGTGCCACCAACGATACAAAGTGGGGAAAAGAGAAGTGACCGGGACAGGAAGTAAGTACTTTAGAAACACAGATAAACTTTAAATCCAGCTTAATAAGTTAATGATCATGATGGCTGATTGATGTGATGGGAATGGTGAATTTAGTATGTTTAGGGGACCTCGTTCCTATAATAGAAGGGAGAACCACATTGTAACTTTTGGATTCCCCTGAGTAGATGACTGTGACATCATGCTCAGTAACTGTCTGTAGGGTTGATGTTATGAAAAGAGTGCAGGGCTTTGTGTTTTGAGGGAAATTATGAGGGGAAACTGGGGGTTTTTCAACACATGGCACATGGTGGAGTCAAATATTTGCGTGGCTGGCTTATCACTGCACTCAGTAAGAAAGTCGCATTTTCTCACACTTTACAATTTGGAATTTCCAAAATACAGGGTTAGGGCAGTTCAGACAGTGTTGCCTTTGGTTTTTCAGAAGAATGACCAGTCTTTCATGCATTAAAATGACCAAAACTTGAGGGGTCCCCAAATTCACATTCCCCATGTGATGAATCGAGTTGGCTAATGTCAGGCTTAACTTACTTAACATTACAAGCCACCCATGGTCACTAGTACTCTATGTAACTTGTAGCCTTGTGACTTTGAGTGGGTTTGTAACGCTATTGATAGTATTGTTGTTTTTCCCTAAAGTGGTAGGCCCTATATCAGCCATCAGAAAGTGATAACATGTCTTATGGAGTAAAATTTAACGGGAAAAATAGAACGTGTCATTTTTCAAACCATAAGTGTACTCTGATTTGACAGGCTGATGTCAAATCTGGTTACGTTTGGTAATGTACCATTGTAGGGAAAAATTGGTGATATCCATGGGGATCGTGGAATGCTTCCTGTCTAGGCATTCTCTCCCCCCAGGATCGCAATACACCCCCATAAAGCTCACCTAATAAGTACATGTATTTAACCTTAAAAATAAACACATGTAACGTCTTTGACTGAATAGTTACCAGGTCCCTGACATGCCTGATTTCACCATGAACTATGAAACAAACCAGACTTCATCATGGACCCAGCAACCATAAAGTCATAGATGTTTAATACATCATACATGTATTGGGTGTGACTGGCTGATCAGCACAGTCGCTTGTAAAAGTTGCTCCCTGTGATCAGCTGTTCTGGTATGAAATCTGTAACTTTACTTCTTTGTGTTCGAAGTCTTCTACAACTGTACATCAGAAAGACAAGGCGATTGGCTGATGGCAAAATAATTGACAAATCATGGATTCATCGACCAATAGTGCACCGATCAAACCATTGCGTAGAGTTACTGATCACATCCACCACGTACAATTCCAATACCATACAATCTACAGTGTACAAGTACCCATCACGCTAGACGGTAGGAATTTACGTTTAATTTGAAAAACATTTAGAAAACTTAGTTTCCCATATTGTCATTGAACACTTTAAATACAACAAATTGTATACAATGTAAATAGTTGACATAAAGTTCCGATGATGAATTCATGGTATTCCGTTGATATGACCGAGCAGTAAAGTGTTCTGAAAATCAGATTCCATTTTACAGACATTGTTCGCAATAAAAATGAATGCCAGATTGCGTCGATTAAAATGTCAAACCTCTAAAAAGGGTGGCTGCCATGAACGTTTGGGAAAATCTGTAAACGGATTTGGAACTTTTTTGTTTAAATGTTTAAACCCTTGATCACATCCCTTACACACAATGCAGTACAATCTACAATTTACCGATACTTTCATATCCTAGGACCCTTTCTGCTTCAAGGGAAAACATGAAGAAGTTTTGTTGATTGATTTCTCATTTTAACCCCTTCGTGCCGGGAGACGGTAAGAGCTGCCGTAAAAATTGAGATCCACAGCCCGCTTTTCAGTTATTATTCTCAGCCCACGCTCGAGCGAACACGGTGAGAG